CCACCACTCGGGTCAGGGCCCTGTTCTCAGCCTGTAGTTGCTCGTTCATCTGCTTCAAGGTTTGAATCTGTTTGAGCTGGTGGAGGTTCTGTGGAGAGTGAGACATGGAGGGGAAAGACAGACAAGACAAGACAGAGACAAGACAGACCAGAGGAAACAAAAGTAGGACAAAGAAATCACGTGACTTTTTGTTTTTGTTTTTAGTTTGCATGCAAGAAAGGAAATGAGAAGGGCAGGCAGGATGAGAGCAAAGGGGAGGGAAGGATGGAGCAAAGCACCAGGAGGGGGAGCTGTGTCGGTGATTCTTGGCTGAGGCCTGAACACGCTGAAGGTTACCATGAGCGTCTTGATCGCTTCTGGAAATGACAGCCCGCCATATGGCTAGGGGCCTTCTTTGTCATCACGGGGATGGGAGCTGAGGGTGCAGGGTGAGCCCAAATCCAGCTGTTGTCCTTGAGTTGCCCCATCTCCCGTCCTTCCCTGAGACCCCATCCCCTACTCCCACCTGTTTTCTTTCTAGGTTCTCCTCTTACAGTATTTAGTTTTTATTGTTAAAATAGGAGGAAAATTAAAGAGGGTCTGTTGTTTAAACATTTTCATATGGGGGCATGTAGTGATTCAAAGGTTGAAGTGACATGCTCCAAAATAATACAAAAATGGGCAGCTCTCTGGGTGGTCCTGCAACCTGCTCTGTAGGCGGCCAAAATAACCTCTGCCTCTCTGCGGTCCAGAGAGTGTGCTGAGGGACCGAAACCGCTACCTGGCCTCTGACCTGCCATGTGATCATCTGCATCACCACATGCACAGCTAACTGGACTCTCTCTGTCTCAGTTCATACAGAGTCTGGGAGCTGCTTAAAGTTTTCACAAAAAAGACTTGTATTCTGGAAATCAGAGCCGTGCACAAAAGGTGAAGAAATGGTGAAGGTCTGACCATGTAGAGCTGGGTGGACTGATGTGCCAGTGCAGCCCTTAATATCTGTCAGTGTTGTAAATGCAACATAGTAACCAGTCCACAGACATTCTTCCTAAATACTTATCCCATAGGGATCTAAAGACTTCAGCTCATATGGGATTATACCCCAGCCTGCCTGCTCTATTGTCCTTCATAAGTGGTCATCTGCACTGACCCTGAAATGGAGACTATCAGCTCTGGGGGAGGAGGAAAGTGATTTTGTTATGTGAAGGATTATGTTAGGTCTGCTGTATTTCATAGGTGAGGATGCAGACCCTATACGCTACAATGGCGACAAAGAAGTCACCACGTCCCAGAGAAAAGTCTCTCATACTCTCAAGGATGAGAATGACAGCAATGAAAGATTAGTGAACTTACAACTATTTGGAAGTGAAGAAGCAAGGAAATGAAAGGTAGCATAAAGGGGAAGAACAGTGAAAAGGAAAAACAAGCAGAGACAAACTGCTGAATATCTCTTTCCCCACCAAGGGAGAATTGGCACCTTGGAGAAAAGGTAGGTTGGCCAGACAGTGCCATGGAGCCATTGGAGGGTAGGGCCTGGGCTCTCTGCCCACTGCACACATCTCAGCCACGGCAAGGACAGAGGACGGGGATCGTGGCACTGCGTGTGGAAAAATGTAAAGGGATGGGCAAGTGCCAAATGTCAGAACCAATGGAAAGTCCTTGGCTCTCACCCTTCTTTGGTGTTTACCTTGGGCCAAAACTTTCAACACAATCACTGTCATTATATGAAGTGGTCCCTGCCTCTGAGAATAATACTAAAACATAAGGTATGAAAATGACTCCATCTAACATGTGAATGCAAGCAGACTAAAGTGGGAGAATTTGGAAGTTATGAGCATGAGGGATGGAGGCAGGAAACAATCCAGTGGAGTGTTCTATAGGAAGCAGTACTGAAAATAGGAGTAGCAAGGGGACGGAGAGGGGAGTGGGGTATGGAGCAGGGCAGCAAGGGCAGAGTGTAGGGGCAGGATTAGGCTAGTGAACTTTTCAGAGTAAATAAAATAAAAATTCCAAGACCAGACTAAAAGGGGATTGGCTGCTGGGCCCCTCTCATGCAAGGACCTGGGAAAGGAAGGGAGAAGGTCTGGCAAGGAAGCTGATGCTGAATGAAGGATGCAGTAGAAAAGTAGTTGAGTCTGATGTGCACGCATCCCAAGACAGCTCCAGGCCCAGCAGGGCTCACAATGACATGCGTGCATGTCAAGAGGCTGGCATGGCACCCTGCTCCAATCCAGGATCTGGGTGGAATTTCTCCTGGGGGAGAATTAATAAATACTTACCTTCCCAAGTAAAGGCCAGAAAGGCACAACCCAGGTCACAACCACAGAGCCCATCCCCAACTGGGTGAGCCCACCTCAGGGTCCCCCATTTCACTCTCCAACCCTGGTCCACAGGCTGCATGCAGCACAGACATCACTTCTCGTCCTTGACCACCTACTGCATCTTCAAACTGCTCCCTACTGATTGTTCCAAAAAGGTATGGGAACTTGTTATAAACTGAATACACAACAAGCATGGAGACTAACTGGCCTGAGTGCTACTGGATTCCAGGTTGACAAGATGGTCATCTGTCTATTGGCTGGTGACTTAGTACCTGGGGATTTTGGCTTTAATTACTCCAGAGACATTGGTCACCATAAACTGCAGTTTGTATAAAGAGCTAGAGAACTAACCAAATATTTTGTTGGATTCCTTTGGGGTGATACCAATTTTATGATGTTTACATCTGTATATTTGAAGTTTTTGCCTCCAAAGAAATGGATTAAAACTCTAAATATACAAACTTAACATTGGTGAGTGGAGAGACTCTGATGCTCCGCCCCCTAGTCCTCTAGGGGGAGCTGGACACTTTGAAAACCTGTATAAAGGCTTTGATTTGAGCCAATGGTGTTCAGGGGCTTTAGAGCTGGCAGGATTTCTTCTCCATTGGCTTTGTAATCGCTAATGAGAACATTGGCAATGGACCAAATGGCAGGTCTTTTTAAACTAAAAAATCAGTGTCGAGTCAGCTTAGCTATTGGTTTGGGGACTAAACCATCTTGATCTGGCTCCACTTGATAATTTGAAAGAACTTAATATGAAGTTGGCTGGCAAATAGCTGTTAGCTGGGGAAAGCACACAATTTTATGTAATGTAATCTCTGCTGAGGGAAGGGAAGGACTCCTGACCTAGTTTAGGAAACCATAGCCTGACAGGACAAGGAAAGAGAGAGACAGAGAGAACTATATAAGTATTCTTTAACCCATAGCCCTACTTAAGGGGCTCCCTTATTTGCCAATTTAGATTTGGAATAAAATAAGGAAGGAGCTCAATTTCTCCCCCTATGGACACTTTCTGGGGCTGTGTGTGTGAGCCTGAATGGACGTGACACAGGATTCCGTAACTGGTGGGATGGCTTCGGGCTCCTGGGTACTCACTGGAGGGCACCAGCTTTGGCCTCATTTACATGCTCCTCATCAGCATTTAGGTCATTTTTTAATGAGCATCACCGACAGGTGCCTAACAGCAGGTACAGATGGTATAACTCAGGGGGTTTCAAATATAGGAAGAGGCCCCCCTGCAACCAAGACCTGAAGATGTTCATTCATCAAGAACTGTTTAGCTCTAGTAACACACTGCTGTAAATGAGAGTGAATGCCACTGGGTGGCAGGTGAGGCGGGTTTGGAAAAAGAAGATGTAGAAGCTTAATGGTGTTGCCTTCCTGTTTCCAGCATCTCAGGATAATCAACCACTTATTATTTCTGCTCTGAGTCAACGTGGACAATTTAAAGAGGTGCTGCTTGAGATGTAAGTAGGTACTGCTAGATACTCTGTGGGACAGCTATCAGTTACAGCCTTGGAAGGCTGGGTAAGGCAGGACAGGGCTTGGCACTTCTCCTTCTTTCTGGAAACATAAAGACTTATGAGCACTTGATCTTGCGTAAACAGTGACCTTGTCAGGTCCTAAAAAGCTCTTTCAGTAAATAACCAACCTTTTTAGGCCTCTGGAACAATAAACATCTCTCCCAAAGTGCTCCAATTGCATTAGTAGGGAGGCCTGGTCACAGAAAGAGACCCAGGGGCTATCCAATACTGCCCCAGAACTTCTGTTTTCCAGGTAAAGAATCTCATCGTGTTCCCAAAATGAACATTTTGTTCCCATCCCAAAGTGTTCCCAAATGAACACTTTGCATCATATATCCAGTAAAATGAAATCCTTGAAGGAGGAGATGAACCTGAGCGAATGCTAAGTGACTGGGGCATGTGGCATCAGGCACTGCAGGGTCGGATGCTCCCAAATCCCATCCAGGAGGCCACCCTGAGCAGCTCCGTATTTACCTTCCATAGCACTGACACTTTTGGGTCACTCAAAACTGCCCAGAATGGCAACCATCCATTAAAATGGCTAATGGAGGTGGAGTCAGGGGTCACGGTGAGGGAGAGAAGAAGGCAGTGAGCCATGAAGTGTATCTGGTGGCACGAGCTCATTCCAGTGGGAGAATATCAGGCATTTCCAAATATCTCAGGGGAAGGGACTGAGGCAGGCAATCAGTATGTGCGTAAATCTTCATCTGCTGCAGAAAGACTCTGACTGTGTTCCTTCCATCAGGGGCTGAGGGCATGAGGGAAGAGAGCCTCAGTTCTGCTCAGGTTTCCCCAGGTACCTAATGCGGGGCTCCACAGAATTGGGGCCTTTGTTCTGATCCTTTGATCCAATCCTATGAGGATGAGCCATTGCTTGGAAAACCTTAAAAGTTCATCTCAGATTTGTCTCCAGCCTGCTAGAGATCTCCCTTTAAATCCCTTAAAGCTACATTTGTTCCTAGAAGGGCTTTGAGACAGTCACAATGGACATTGTGTGAGCTGGGAGACCTACAAAATGGTGAGGAGAGGTGCTCATCTCCTCTTCACACATCATCTTGTCTTGAGGGTGATGAGTCTGCAGTAAAATTTGGAGGGGGCAGGCCAGTCTTCAAATATCTAGTCTTGGCAGGCATTCAGAGGACAGGTGTACAACAAAAGAAAGAAAATAACTTCCTACCTTCATCTCCTCCTCCATTTCAGACATTTTCCGCTCCAAGGCTCTCCTTTCCTGTTTAGAAACAATGAGACTAGTGAGCATCTAATGGCCTTAGAAGGGAGTCAGAATGCTGCCTCCCAGCTGCCATATGATCAGCATCTTCATGGTCAAAGCATTTGTCTACTGACACAGGCAAACTTTACCCAGGAGATTTACACACTGTCTGGTCCCGCCACTTCTGGAACTACTTCACCAATAAAAATGACATTATCTAAATCTCCTCTCAGAAAATTAGAAGAGATATGGGGAAACAACTTGTCAACATGGAAACAGGCTAAGGCCAGGGCACACTATGCTATTGTGTTGAGTTAAAAGACTTCATGGAACTTCAAATGACTGCAAGTGACCCTTACTCTCTATGAACAAAATGTCATCATGATCTTCAGTAAGAGCCCCCAAATTTCTAGGAACTGCTTCTCTCAGGAGGGGGAGCAAATGGTGAGCAGGGAAGTAGACAACATTGGCTATGAAGAAACAGTCCCCTAATCTATTTCTAATAATCTATTTCCTAATCCCTCCCCCCTCATCTATTTCTCTCTCCCAGCAACTGAATCTCGATGTGGCCTGAACTCAATGAGAATTGCTTGATTAGATAACAAGGAAATCTGGCTATAGGCCAAGGAAATAAAATATAAAACTAAGTTGCTTTCCAAATTAAACAGACAACAACAGGAGAGATGGGAACATATTATACTCCTAGGGTCAAATCCAAGCTAGAGTTCATCAATAAATCTAATTAAGTTTTCACAATCAAAGAATGTCAAATTCCAGAAAAATATTCTGAATGCAGTTGGAGGAGGTCAGCAAATGAACCAGAAATCCTCCCATCAGTCAGACTGAGTGAAAGACTCTGTCGGCTCATGTTTCAAGTCACAAGACCTACAACCTACACTGAAGGCAGAGGGTCCTGCCCAAACTTCCTTTCTGTTCAAGGTGATGGGAAGGGTAAAGAGACCTTGGACTTGGGTGTGTGTGTGTATGATGATTTACGGTAAACCAAGATATGTTTTGAGTATGTGCATGTGAGCAGGAGGCAGAACAATGTATGAGATGACTTTCCAAGGACACTTCCCACCCAAAACTGGAATATGTCAGAAGTACTGACCATCTGAGGATGCCAAAAGGACAAGCAATCAAACTGCTGCCCAGAGTCAGACAAAAAGAATTTATTATCAAGCCAGGAATGGAATGTGGCAGAACTCCAGTCTTCTTAAGATGAATTTTTTCCATTGGCACGAACAACAAAGTTGGAGAAAGTCAGAAGAGAAGAGGAGATGAAACAGAGGGGAAAGAGATACACACGTACCCGTTTCTCCATCTCCAGCATTGATGAGCGGTCAGAGGTCTTCTCTTGTTTCTGCTGGTGCAAACGGAAGGAAAACAGTTGTTACTTAAGTTGACTCAGGGCCAGTCTAGTTCCGCTTCACCACTGGATATCCAGAAACAGACAGCAGGGCTGTGGGCTTTCCATATAGCAGGGGTCCCTAGCACATATATTCTGCCAGCTTTCTAAGCCTAACATTACCTGCCTCTCTGAAGTTTGCTAGATTCCCACTGGGGAGGGGAAGGCAGGTAAGTTCTGTTTCTTGAAGTTCAAAACACTCAAAGTACAAAGACATCATCCCCGACACACTCAATTTGCTAGGTCTTCAATGCCAATTACTTTCCTAAAACCTCACCACCCCTCTCCGTTCTTCTGTTCCAGGAGTAATTTCAAAACCTAGAGGAAATGACAAATGGCTTGTCTTCTTTAAAAGGCCTTGAACTCCTGAGCCTGAAGGTCTAGGTCCCCATGGCTTTGGGGTTACGTTCAGAGGGTACCCATGACACTCTTCTACACAGTTCCTCCTGCCCTAGTCTGTCTGTGGGATGGAGGCTGTTTTTCTTTTACAGCAGTGGCTTTAACATGTGGGTGGGCTCCCAGCCCATTCACAGAGTCTCCCCTGGCTTAAATGGAGTAGTTCCACTTTCATCTGTTTTATATCTTGTGTTTTCAAGTAAGGTAAAATTCTATTTGATCATACAACTTAAGAGGAAGTTAGAAGGTTTATTGTAGATCATCTTCAACTTTCAATTTAAACTGAAGTTTGCAGAGGAGCTACAAAGTTTTAACCACGATAGCTAAAAAGTACAACCACCTCAGGCTGTGACCCTGCTTTAAGCAGGGGAATGGAAATGAATCCTCAAGTCCTTTTTGGCCTTACAGTACAGAACTGAGTGGATTTTTTTTTCTTTAATTTTGCTTTCAATTGTTGTTGTTGTTGTTGTTATGTGCCGTCGAGTCGGCCCCGACTCATAGCGACCCCTCCTTGGGTTTCAGAGGCAGTATCACTACGGAAGTAGGATTGCCCAACCTTCCTTCCGAGGAGTGGCTTTCAATAGGCATTTAATAAATTTGGGGTGCTTATTTTCATTCTAATATTACGATTATGCCTAGTGTCAGGCCCAAACAACATTTAATAGATACAGAAATTATGCTGGTCTTCTTACAAAAAGCTTTTCTTATTCTGTTTTTTCAAACAAGGAATAGCCAGGACTAACAGAAAAACTTGGAATTCTGGCTGCCGTCCTGGGCTTTCACCTTCTGTTCTGAAGGTCATGGCCATCTGCCTTTACACTGCATCTATTATGAAGTAGAAGGAAAAGAAAAAAAAAAAAAAGCAGAAGTAGATCTTGAAGTCTGCTCATATTCCTGCAAGTCTCTCTCTCCTCAGCCTGAGTGACTGTGGTGATTTCACTATTTTTAGGGTTCACTTATACAAAGGACAGCTAACTAACTCTCTTTTTTGGTCCCTTAAGAGTATGGGTAAGGAGCTCTGATGGCACAGTAGTTAAGGCATTCAGCTGCTAACCCAAAGGTCATCAGTTTGAACCTCCAGCCACTCTGTGGGAGAAAGATGCTTCCGTAAAGATTCACAGCCTTGGAGACCCAATGGGGCACTTATACTCTTATAGGGTTGCCTTGAGTTGGAATTGACTCAATGGCTGTGGGTTTGGGTTGTTTGGTAGAGTTTGGGTGGACCTTTTACGTAAAAACATTGTGTGTGTCCATCCATGTGGTAACTGTCTCCATACAAATGTGTGAGGCTGACAGGCCCTCCCTCTGCTGTCTGGCCAAACAACTCCATGTTTGGTAAATAGCAGAGACCAGGTTTGTAGCAACAGCATTTTGTCTGTATTTCAATAACTTGTATTTGGCAAAACTAAGTATATCCCGACCCACCCATCAAAGCATCTGGCTGGAAGTAAATGCTTTCCCCCAGTGACTGGAAAGGCTGCATTTATTTTCAATGCAAGTCAATGTCAGCAGCTTGTTAGTTGCTTACCACTATGAAGCAAGGGCTGGTGGAAAAGCTAAGAACTCTTAGAGGTTAGGAAATAAGCTATCTGTCAGAAGCTTCTGCGAGGAGAAGGTGGGGAACCAGTGGGAAGGTGAAACTGGGTTCCTCACATGGCTGCTCCTTAATTTTCTATAATACAGCCTGAGTAATAACTAGTAAGAACTAACATCATCTCCGTATTTATTAATCATTGCCAATATGTGACACTATTCAAAATTAAAATTTAGCCCCAGATTATTTTCTGAGGGTCTACTGTGAATAAAGAAATTAAAAACCAAACTCACTGCCATCAAGTTGATTCTGACTCATAGCAACTCCCAGTGGGTTTCCGAGGTGGTAAATCTTTACAGGAGTAGATCGCCCATCTTCCTTTCATGGAGTAGCTGGTGGGTTTGAACCATCAACCTTCTGGTTAGCAGTTAAATGTCTTAGGCACTGTGCCACCAGAACCAAAAAGTCAGTGGTTCAAACTCACCAGTCACTCCATGGGAGAAGACACCTGGTGATCTACTACCATAAAGATTATAGCCTATGAAACCATATAGGACAGTTCTACTCTGTCACATACGGTCACTGTGAGTCAGAATTGACTTGGGCACACACTAACAACTGTGAATAGGGGTCCCTGGGTAATGCAAGGTAGCTCTGGTGGCATAGTGCCTAAAGCATTTGACTGCTAACCAGAAGGCTGACGGTTCAAACCCACCAGCTACTCCTCGGAAGGAAGGGTGGGCAATCTACTTCTGTAGAGATACCGCCTGGGGAACCCAAGAAGGGGTGGCTATGAGTCTAACTGACTTGACGGCAGTGAGTTTGGTTCAGTTCGGGTAATGCAAATGGTTAAAGTGCTTGGCTGCTAACAGAAAAATTGGAGGTTTGAGTGTACCCAAAGGTGCCTCAGAAGAAAGGCCTGGTGATCTACTTTAGAAAAATCAGCCACTGAAAACCCTGTGGAGCATAGTCCTACTTGGCATGCATGGGGTTGCCATGAGTTGGAAGTGTTTGCCGGCAACTGTTACATTGTGAGTAAGACAGTTCGCCTGGCTCAGTAATGTTGGGATCAAGAGTGAGTGTGTCCAAGTGTGTTTTCATTTTAGATTTAATGACCCACTTTTCTTGTTCCACTAAATCACTTTAAGCCAGATGTTATCTGTCTATGCTGCAACAGATTTCAGAAACTCCCAATGTAAGAGCCACATTCAACTATTATAACCCGGCAGAAGGGGATGCCTCTTCCAAACTGACAGGCACCTCACAGGAGAGGCCATCCATTCTGTGCCTGGCCAAGCCCTTCTCCAGAAAGTGCAGGTGCCTGGCTGTCTTGCTGGGATTCCATGCAGTTTTGCAATGCTGTCTTCCAAGTGTGGGCACCCCCTGGCTCACCCCTTTTCAGAGGGGTTGGAACATGTTCAGAGGGTACTCAACCCCTGTATCCTCCAAAGCCCCACGTACTTGGTGCTACATAACCAAGCATTTCAGCCTTTGCTTTTGGAATAGAACATACGACCAGAACTAACTAGCTACCTCTGGTTTTCATTTCATGCCCTCTCAGTAAAGAGTCATTTTTACTTCAGCTTCCAGAATTCTTAGTTCCTAGGCATTTCAGGAGGGCAGTAACTCAATAGGTTTCCTGTTAACTCATCAATAACCTAAGACAGCAGGTCCTCTAGCTTTTAGCTGCAGGGTTTATTTCACAGGCGATGAGGTCATTACTTCTAGCACCCTCTAAAGCATCATCTAATTAAATTAGACCTGGAGGTAAGAGGAAATGGTTTATCTGTCTTTCTGCCCCTATGTTTTCTTATTCCTAGGATGAAAGACGGGAGCTCTGGTAGCATAGTGGCTAAGACACTTGCCTGCTAACCAGACGGCTGGCGGTTCAAACCCACCAGCCACTCCTCAGAAGGAAGGTTGGGCAATCCTACTTCTGTAGTGATACTGCCTCGGAAACCCAAGGAGGGGTCGCTATGAGTCGGGTTTGACTCGACGGCACATAACAACAACAACAACAGGATGAAAGACAGTGTTGCCTTGGGGAGTCAGCATATGCAATAGACAGACCGTTGCTTTGGGCCTTAAGCCTATGCTATTGTATCATTTTTGCCCTTGATTTACTATATGATCTAAGCAACTACTTATTGCTGTTGGCCTAGTTTGTTACCTCTCTGCACTATGTTTAGCAGTGTCTTGTTTATTCCTCCCCAGTATGTGATGTGTAGATGAATGAACTGACACATGATGAATACCATAGGAGGAGCTATTTGGGACTACCTCTGTGTTACAGTGGAGTAGTATGTTGCTGTTGTTGTTATGTGCCTTCAAGTTGGCCTGACTTATAGCAACCCCTCCTTGGGTTTCTGAGGCAGTATCACTACGGAAGTAGATTGCCCAACCTTCCTTCCGAGGAGTGGCTGGTGGGTTTGAACTGCCAGCCTTCTGGTTAGCAGTCAAGTGCCTTAGGCACTACGCTACCAGAGCTCCTGTGGAGTGGTATAGTACTTAATAAGTAGATAATCCATATTAATTACTGGCATTCAGACCATTAGGAGTTGTCTACTTAACTATCAATTTTCAAGTTAGGTTAAACACTGACCGGTTGGGTCCTAAAATCAAATTATGATCTACGAGCCTTATATCTCACTGTCTTGGAGGAGACTTGGTTCTGACTCTCTCACTTCCCATCCTTAGATCCCTAGTCTAGTTTGCCCCCCTGACGTACTAAGCCCTGCCTCCCCACCTTTTCCCCTCTTCTTCCCCCTTACCTGGGCCATCTTCTCAAGCTTGGATTTGACATCTGCTAGCTCTAGCTGGGCTTCCTGAAGTTTTGTTTTCAGTTTTTGGTTTTCAGTTAGGGCACTCTCATAGAGCTGGAGAAGGGGAAAGAGAGATCAGGTCACCTACTGGGCCAGCAGCCCAGATCAGAACTCATATATTTTCATCCTATGAGAGAGAATGCCTCCGGCTCTGGGGCCTGAGCCACTGATATGTGGCAGATGGGGAAAATGCAGAGTCTAGGGAACTCTGCATATATCTGAATATATTCAGCCTACTGGTCTGTTGCTTCTTGAAACTGATGAAGTCCTAGATGCTGAACACACAGTGAACAAGTGCTCTGACATCTACGTTAATCATGGGGAAAAAAAAGTCATTCCATTTTCTCTTATGGGGCATTTGCATTGATTAACAGTGTGACTCACACACCCCCATACCAAAGAGAATTATTTTTTTGAACCAGACTAGTGGGTATATGAATTATAGTCAAGTTCTGCTTAACAGAACATTAACTAAACAAATGTTTTCGTAACAAAAACATTTTGTTCCGTAGTATCTCAAGCACCTGAAAAAGAAAGTTTTGAAGCCTGACCTGGGACCTGGGCACTCTTCTGCAGGAACCACAGGAAATAAATCGTAAAGTGATTTAAACCTTACCAAACCCAGATGATGATAATGATGATTTTACCACTATCAAGAAGTATTTAAGGAGTCCTGGTGGCACAGTGGTTAAGCACTCAGCTGCTAACTGTAAAGGCGGCAGTTTGAACCTCCCACCTGCCCCAAGCTGCTCTGTGAGAGACAGATGAGATAGTCTGCTTCCTAAGGGATTACAGCCTTAGAAACTTCCCGGGGCAGTTCTACTCTGTTCCATATGGTCCCTAAGAGAAGGAATCAACTTGCTTAGCGGTAGGTTAAGAAGTTTTTAGTTGACAATCACAAGACCTTATTAAATGCATGTTTGTTAAGAGTAACAGGATTCTAAATGATTCTCAGGGGCTCAAACAGACAGCATTACTTTTACTTTCCTTTTTTGCAATACTTAATTCCTTGCTTTTTCTAACACCTAAATATCAGATTTGAAGGCAAATATTTACTGCACCAAAAACAATATACAAAGGGGTCTTTATTTAGCTGTTGGAGAAGTGAGGCAAGCCAAGAAACCTTCAAGGAATTGTTGTTGCTATTTATCACTTCAGCGCCTTTTCTTTGGCTTCATGGCACTGCATTCCTTTTTCTACACTGGTGGACAAGGCTGAGAGGTTTACTCATTGTGACCCAAGAGCAGGAATATGAGAAAGAGCTCCTACTTTTTTATAATCCCTGTTGCTGTCCTCCTCTACTCGGCTGGTCAGGCTGGCCAGCCGGGCTTCCCGCCGGGCTCTTGCTGATGCACGATCATAAGAATCACTGGTTGTAGTGTTGCTACTTCCTGATTCCAACCTGTAGGAAATGAAACACAAGGTGAAAATTGGTTTTGAAAACAAAGAAGTGGGGGAAAGTAATACTTAAGGGTAGTCAGTGCCTTCTTTAAAGGAGCTCAGTGGTGTAGTGGTTAAGGCATTTGGCTGCTAATCAAAAGGTCAGTGGTTCAAACCCACCAGCTGCTACATGGAAGAAAGATGAGACAGTCTGCTTCTATAAGGATTTACAGCCTTGGAAACCCAATGGGGGTCACCATGAATTGGAATCAACTTGATGGCAGTGAGTTTGGTTTTTGTTTGTGCCTCCTTTAAGAAGCACTTGAGAATCCTAGACAGAAACAAGGCACATAGTTCTTCCTTGAATTGCTCAGCTGGCATCCGGGACCTCGCAGCTAAGCTGTGCCAAGAACAGAGCTTACTTGAAAAATTGTTGGTTTGGACTCATGTGCTGACTTGAATCTTAGAGCTTTTCAAATTAGTTTAGGTTTGAGCAGTTTTCTTAGACAGAGTGTGTATTAAGAGCAAAAGTTTCTTGGATCTCAGTGGCTCTCAGAAAATGATTCCAATGAACTGTCAGTGAGTCAGAAACATATGGACTTGGACATCTGGGCTGGAGCTTGAATGGGGGAGGAACAGTGACTAGAGGCACCCGCACATATACTTTTTAGGTGTACTGCAGATTCTTTGGGATCCCAAACATTTCAGGGGTACCATCACAGTGCCAAAACAGCTAGTTTTCTTCTCTCTTCTCTATATTTCACATGGAGACTGCTCTGCCTGTGATTAGGATTTCTATATCTTCCAGCAATTGAGTAATACTCTAGAGGTGATGGTGGTTTTATTTCCAGTAACAGTTAAGTTCATTAGGGGGAACGGTCTCTCAGCTGACTACCTGCAAACTGAGGCTCATTTTTTTTAAGTGTACAACTGTCATCATACCTTTCTCAGACTTTACTCTTTCCAAACTAAAATGTGGCACATATCAACCCTACAGAGCTCCAGATCACATAACAAGGCTGGGTGAAGAGGTGCAATTGTATCCTATGTCTCTAACCCATTGTAGCTATTGCCAAAGTTGGGGCATGCAGGGCAGAGGGAGGAGGGAACATGTACAAGAATGACAATGCAGAAAGGGGAGAGGCAAGGTAATTAGCACCTAATGACATTAATAATCACTTTTCTCTTACAGAGATACTAAGTCCCGTGGCATTCTTCGTTTTTGTAAACAGAAATATCTTTATTAATTATCCTGATTACAAAAGCAATACAAAAACAAAAACAAATGCACTGCAGGTAAGTCAGATCTGACTCACAGAGACCCCTCCTTGGGTTTCCGAGGTAGTATCACTACAGAAGTAGATTGCCCAACCTTTCTTCTGAGGAGTGGCTGGTTGGTTTGAACCACCAGACTTCTGGTTAGCAGTCAAGTGCCTTAGGCACTATGCTACCAGAGCTCCTACAAAAGCAATATATGCTTGTAAAAAAAAATTAACTAATACTGAAACACATAAAGTAGAAAGTGAAAGTCCTTGCATACTCTTTGCCCAAGCAATAATTAAAGTTAACAGTTTCGTTCATACCCTTGCAGGTAAACACACTGATAAATATGCTAATATATATATTTATATAAACGATACATATTGCTGTCTACCACCCCCACCCTGTACACTTATCACTGTGATTGTGAGCATCTTCTCGTGTATGTAAAAACCGATTTGCCTTGTTTTTTAAAAATAACTGCATAGTCTTTCATTGTGTAGTAATTTATTTACTTAACCCTCTATTGATAGATATTTGTTTCAAAGTTTTTAGCGACTTAAAAACAATGCCACACTGAGCAGACTTGTCTGTAAATCTTAATGCATTTGTCCAATTATTTCCTTAGAATAAAATCTTAGAAATGGAATTGTTCATTCCATTGTTCGTTCATGTATTTTTAATGTTAACATCTATAGCCATATTGCCCCCTAGATAGGTTTAATCCTTCTCAATCCACTATGAGAAATATAATTTCATTGTCATTAATTTTAAGATTTTAAAATCATCAGTGAGGTTCAACATCTTTAGTTATTCATCCTTCTTTATTTCTGAATTGTCTATTCATGGTCTTTGTTCAGTGGGGTAACCATCTTTTCCTTGTTATAGCAGGGGAGCCTGTTATATTGTAGGGTTTTTCAAACATCTGACACAGGTTGCAGGTATCTTTCTCACTTTACTTTTTTTTGTCTCTGTATATCCTTTACTACAGAAATTTTAGGAGCTCTGGTGGCATAGTGCCTAAGGCACTTGACTGCTAACCAGAAGGCTGATGGTTCAAACCCACGAGCCACTCCTCAGAAGGAAGGTTGGGCAATTTACTTCTGTAGTGATACCACCTCGGAAACCCAAGGAGGGGTCGCTATGAGTTGGATCTGACTCGATGGCCGTGAGTTTTTGTTTTTGAGTAGAGATTTTAAATATTATATAATTAGACAATTTTTACCTTTATAGTAGTATCATGTTTGAGAAAGTATTTCCTACATAAAGATGATAAAATACTATCTTCTGCTTTTTTTGCAGTAAATCATTTTTCTCTTAACAACTGCAATCCATCTGTACTTTATTTTTTTGGCGTGGCTGGAGGGAAGACTCTTCCAAGCAGACAATCAATTGCTCCAAGTATCATTTACTGAATAATCTTTTCCCCACTGAGTTGAAAAGTTATCTTTTATAAATGTTTTTTTTGGGGGGGGTTTTCTATGCATCTCTTTGTTTATTCTTGAACTAGTAGCTCATTGTTTTAATGACTATAGCCTTAAAACAAAATTTGAAGTCTGTAGGGAAAATCTCCTTTCACAAATGATCATTATAACAAAGTTCACAGAAGATTAACTATAGCAAATACCACTCTCCACCAATTTTACAAAACTAAGACATTTTCTGCTATGTTAGAAGTAAATGATTTATCCCCAGCTGCTGCCTGGTGGGAGAGTAAGCAGAGGAAGAACACATGCAAGCTTGTAAATTTTAGAATATGTTAGTCAGGTGGCACCAGCTCAGTTGCCAAACAGATTATAAGAAGAGGAGACTCATTTGCTCTTTGCTATGCCATAACTGGAGCTCTGGTAGCTTAGTGCCTAAGGCACTTGACTGCTAACCAGAAGGCTGGCCATTCAAACCCACCAGCCACTCCTTGGAAGGAAGGTTGGGCAATCTATTTCCGTAGTGATACACCTCGGAAACCCAAGGAGGGGTCACTATGAGTCGGGTCTGACTCGAGGGCACATAACAACAACAACAACAACATGCCATAACTACATTGTTCCCCAATCTCTCCTTAATTTCTCCATCAAAGGACAATGGAAAAGAGAGATTTCAAGATTTGGCTCCATGGTGTAGTTTTATTCATCAGGAAGATCAGTTTTATATCCTTGGACAGTTAGTGAAAAATGACAGAGTGTCATCTCCCACACTATAAGAAAGCCTGAAGCCCTTCTTTAATTTTGCAGCAAGTGCCAAACAGGTCTTCAGTTCATTCAACAAATTATTACTGAGCACCATCTAGCACAGGTATTAGGTTGGATCCACTCTTAAATGACAGTATCTAACCTCAATCTCAATTCTGCTATCTAGTCTATAATAAAATCTTCCCTGACCTACCAGATTAAATTAATTGCTTCTCCTCTGTGCTTACAATACCTGTCCATACTTCTGTCTTGGTACTTATTATATTCTACTGAAATTATCTGTCTCTCCAGTCACTGATAAGCTATTTGAGGGCAAGAACAGTGTCTAATTCACATTGTTTCCCTCGCTCCTGGTGCAGTGTCTGATACAGTAGAATTATACAAGATGAACTGGAAAGGGGAGAATCTGGAAGCAGGAAGGTAAGTTGTAAAGTTATTGCATTACTTTAGGCAGGAGATAATAAAAGTCTGAATTCTCACGATGGCTGTGGCAATGAAAAGGAAGGAAAGGATATAGGACATTAGTAAGCTATATAAAGCTAAATTTGATTAGACATGCATTTTCTCACAAGTATTAAGCATGCATATAAAATAGGGAAAGTTCTTACCTAGAAAGTCTTTCATGCTAGAGAAAGGAGGAGACAAAAACAAAAACAAAAACACAGCATTAGCAAGGGACTGGTTTTATTATCTCCGTTTTCAATGTATTTTTCAAATCAGATGTCTCAACTTCACAGCTGGAGAGAGAGGTGCAATTTAAGAAAAGCAATTCAACTGGCTGCATAAAAGCAAGTCAGGCTACTTAGCTCTAGCTTACATGTCTTTGCATTTCACGACCCACTAAGCTTGAGACTTCGAGGACAGCGTATTTTTAAACTGGAAGTCAGCAAAATGTAAAGTGGTCAGAAACTGGCCCACTCCCCACAAACTAACCAGCTATCCTTGTGTTCAGTGACTTATCACTGACCCTGTATGACATTCAGCCTCTCTGGACCTCAGTGTTCATTCTAACTTATTTCAATTCACAAACCTCCAACCCTGCCTTAAGTAAGTACTGTAATTTCTCAATTCTAAAACTTGGGACAGTTTCTGGCTTTCTCGCAGAGTACTAGTAAAAGTAGAGGGGCAAGGGAAATGAGAGAGTGGGAGGAGAAGGTCTGCCCTAGTCTCTAGGATGTTGGTAAAAAATGAAAAGAATAAGAAAGTGTTCTGAGGTCTTAGAAGAAATGAGTTTGATGATGCAAACTCAAGCTTGGTTACCTATGGTCACTGCAAACAATCTGCACAAGATAAAATACTTAAGTCTGTGTGTTACATTTATTTATTTATTACCACAAATGACTTTTACCTTCCTGTCCCTTTACTTTTTTTTTTTTTTTTTAAGAACTCAGGCAAATAAATACTCAATTGATTTGAATGTTTTTATTTCCTTTGTTGAAGTATTAAAGAACAACAAAATCCTCAAAGACAAAAGAAGGCATAAGAGAAACAAGAGTCCAGTAATCTACTACATGAAAAATGAATCCCTGACCTACTGAGAAGTCAATGAATGACAATGTATTGTTGACACATTAAATAGACCCTGGAAGCCACTGGTACTTCAGTCAGCAGTGACAGACTGCACATCTGACTAAAGAGGGACTGAAGAGGGTGACTGTTCGTAGGTGGTTTTCCCCACGAAATCTTTTACTCTTTAAATCAGAGGGTACATTCATCAGAACTATCTTGTGTGTTTTGTTCCAAAGTGAATACATGCCAACCTCAACCCTGGAGATTCTTTTTAGCAAATCTAGAGCAGGGTTTTCCCGCGTGTATTTTTAAAATGTCCCCCAGGTGATTCTGATGCATACCCCTGGTCTAGCACCACTAGAAGAAATAGTTTCTTAACATAAGACATGCCCCATTTGAGATGGAGGAGTAAGAAAAGCACATGGTGTATCTTTCACATTCTCACAACTCTGGAGTTCTTTACGCATCCTAAAACTTGCAAATCTGCAATTCAGGACAATTCCAGGTATTCTGTTTACACACTGATAGCTGATCTCTAGTGAGAGCCATGGGAGCTCTGGTAGCATAGTGGCTAAGATACTTGCCTGCTAACCAGATGGCTGGCGGTTCAAACCCACCAGCCGCTCCTCGGAAGGAAGGTTGAGCAATCTTGCTTCCGTAGTGATACTGCCTCGGAAACCCAAGGAGGGGTCGCTATGAGTCGGGCTGACTAGACGGCACATAACAACAACAACAACAGTGAGAGCCATATGCATACCCTACACTAACAATGACCATTTAATCAACATTCACTAAGGTTTTTCTCTTACTTGAAATCTTTTTTTTTTTTTTAAACCTTTCAAGAATATAAAAATGCTTCATGTGTATAAAAGTGAAACTGACACTGAGCTGTTGGCTATGCTCACTCACTGGCTTGTGGTAAGATTCAGCCTTACAGCGCCTGGGTGAATTAAAATTCACAACCCAGTAAAACAGAGAATTGTGACATGTCAGAGTTGTGAATAATTGAGACTGAACTCCACACCAGCAAATGCAGCTCGACTGAATTGAAGAGTTCACTGTGTCTAGAGTCCTGTAAGGGAGGCACTGAGGAAAAATAAGCAGAGTAAGATGCCAGGAGAGTAACGTGAGCATGAGTAGCAAGCTTGTCTGAAACGCTGTAGGGAAAACACGCAAGTAATTACTATGACAATAACAGCAGTAACTGAAGCTACAACTATGGAGGCTTCCTCAAGAAGTGCGTTTTAAGAAGATGGTGTTGGAGAAATGCATACACCCACTTACATGCATACATAAAGAAATACACTTTTTCACAAAGAATATTGTTTATGGGAGGTTTCCCTAAACTTTCTTTATCTGAGATCCATCACTATCTCTATATCCTCAGTGACAGAACAAGAAAGGTGCTCAATAAACACTAACTGAACTGAATTGTTAACGTTTCTGGGAGAAGTGTGATGGCCTTGGCTAAACTTGAGCTCTAATTTCTGCTCTGATATCTTCTAGCCATGTGACCTTCAGCAAGTTACCAATTACTCTCATGGTAAGAATTAAATGTGATAATTATGAGGAAGTGCCCTCTTAAACTGTCAGGTCCCTCCCTTGTCTCAGTCCCTTTCCTCTCTCTCATTTTTTAATCACAGGGATATTATATTGGCTATTGATGGCAATCAGGGTATGAAGTTAACTTAGGACCTTTGATCCAAAGGAAATGGGTTCACATGCATCCACAGGAGACAATAATTTGGCAGACCACTTAGGTACTCTCACTGCTTCTAGGCAGAATAGTCTCCAAACTATATTATCCATATGGGAGAACCATTCTTGGTGATCTCTCCAAAGACAGCTTTCCATATTCTGTTAGGTATGCAAAAATGACCCATTTATAATCAAATTGGTCTGCATTGTGCCTTCCTTTTCTTCCTCCTTCTGAAAAATAAACCCATTTCTGTTTGGTGTGCACAGACTGAGGACTGATTAACTTTCTGACAATTAAATCTGTCTATTTGCCAGCTGTTTTTCCTGCAATGTGGTGACTTCACTAAAAGCAAAAGACAAAAAACAAAAACAAACACACACACACACACACACATAAAGCTTCCTCTTTAGAAATATCTTATTTGTTGGGTAGATTTAAGCTCCTTTTTTTTGGCTTTAAATTCTGCTGTGCAGACTCTAGCAGCTCCCTCTATAGTCTAGAAACAAGTTTTTCTTTCCACTCCAAAAGGGAAATCAGGATTTTACCATGTATCACTCTTAGCCACTATATATATCTCAAAGTATGCTAATCATTCCTACTGATTTATTCCTAAAATAATGGTGTATAATTAACCTTCTTCCCTGAGAATGTTCTAGAAGCACAATGAAAAACTATTTATGCCCTGTCATCAGATCTAAGAAAGTGCTCAGATGTTTGGATAATGTAGTATTTAAGGTTGTGTGTCAGCTTGGCTGGACTGGTTTTGGCTGGGTGGCTGGATATAGTGATTCCCCATGATGAGAGTATAATCACCTCCATGGTGGAATCTGCTGAGAGCAGTGGAAAGGGAGGTGCCTTTGGGGTGTGGCTTGCTTCCAGTACATGTGGAGAAATTTTGGGAAAGGTCTTTAGTTTTTTTGGCACATTTAGATCCTGCATTTGGCTGAGTCTTCATCCAGTGGCCTGCCATGTTGCCTGCTGATTTTGGAATTGATCCATTCTTTTTTTTTTTTTTTTTAACTGGACTTGAATCAGTGGCCTGTGTGTGCCTGTTGATCTTGGGACTGTGCCATTCTCCTTGCTGACCTTGGGCTCATCAGCCTCAGCAGTCAGCAGCTGTCTGATTTAAGAGATGCCTCTAGCTCCAGTGGGCCTTGAATAAGAGGCAGAGCTGAAGCCCAAGGTCAAGGGGCCTTTACCCAGACCTTAGAGGGGGCACTCTGAATTTGGACTTGCAGCTTTCTGAACTGTAAGAGAATAAATTCCTGTTTGTTAAGCCATTCACTTGTGGTGTGTCTCTTAAAGCAGTACTAGAGAACCAAGACAGACAGTATGGCTGTGTATACTGTACGGCCTCCCTGAGGAGGCTGATGTAAAATATAAACATAGGTTATACTACCAGGCAGCAATCAGAAAAAGCCCATGGGGTTCCTGGATATGAAAAGGCAGATTCCACAAGGTTTCCAAGAGGTCTAAATTAATTTTTCCAGACTTGAGAACACGTGGTGGGAGGGCTGTGATGGCGCTCCAACTTGTGACTGCCACACCAGTTCTGGCCCCTACAGGCTGACGGCAGGAGGGGCTTTTGACAGCCATCTTAGAAGCTGCTGGCAAATGACACTCTCACGTCTGCCTGCCAGCAGTAACTAAAAGCAAGTATCACAATCTGTTGTTTACCATCTTTTAAGGTGTATTAACATTCCTTATGATCGTTCTTTCTCTTTTTTTTTTGGAGGGAGGTGAACTTTTATAAAAATGTGTAGGTGGTGAGTGATCTGGGCTCAATTCACCTAGATTCGGGTATCAAGGAAAAGAGCTTCCAAGTTAATCGTTGGTCTTTCCTTGCTTTGCATAACACTCCCCCATCTCCCTCGAACTTTTATCTGACTTCATCTGGAGCTAGCTGGAATCCTTGCCTTTTTATCGCCTTCAAGGACTAGTCTTAGCAATGTTCTGGGAAGGTCAATTCAACCAACTGGGGAAGAGCTCTCTTCATAAAATCTTAGGGATAAGCAATATTTGGATGCAACAGGGAACAGAGTTAGTTGTCCTAATGCAAACAATAGTATTTCACAGAAAGAAGAAAACTAAGATTTCTAAAGGAGGTGTTCTCACTGCAGTAGACATGGTTTCTTCTTAAGTTTTCTGGCCTAAGAAGAATGCTTTCATAAGCTGGATGGAGAGACAGTTTAAAAACATACAGAAGATTTAAGATTTAATCCCCGTTCTGATAAAATAAAATGGCTTAGGTTCTTAGGTCATACTTCCTGATTTTCACTGGTGGAATACCCCTGGAAATTACTGTTGTGTTTGGCATCTTGATCTCCTAGATAATCTGGGGTTTGATGAAAAAATACTGGTTAGATTTAGAGAGAATATTTTGGGTTTCCTGGATAAAGGAGCAGAGTTGGTAGAGG